TATAATCTGAGCTACAAAACAGAAATGGAAAGAGAGAAAGAAGACAGGTCGGGAGAAGCAGTTAGTTGTCTCACACATGACTTGGCCCCAAACCTGCCACCCCGCTCCTCTCTGCTGTTCTGCAGCAGCAGCTCCTCTCGCGCCCAGTGCTCGGGATCTGAGGCTTCTGTCTGTGCAGCTCTGTGCTGTCTGGAGATTTTAGGTCGGCCACAGAGTCAGGGAAAACCCACACCAGGATGTTCTTTCTCACCCAGTGGCAACAGTTGCTCAACATTTGCTGCATTCCGGTAGTTTCTCCATAAAGAGTTAAAGAAAGACAACAGAATGACTGAGATGTACAGAAAATGTCAAAATTAGGCCCTGAGATATATATCCTCTGCATGCAGGGCTCCAGGGGTGCCTAGAGTGAAAAGAGACACACTTTGTCCCCCTTATTTTGAAATATGAATTCTTTCTGTGATTATATGTAGAAGATTTGGCAGTATAGATATAAGACCTAAATCAGTGATTTTTTTAAAAAAAAGTATTTGCTTTCCTTTTAGCTTAGTGTCATACTTCAGAGAGACCACCTCCATATTATACCTATAGAGGATATATACACACATACACACATACATACACACATACATACATACATACATACATACATACATACATACGTACATATACATAAGCCAAACAAGTCTCTATTTTATCCATGTTCTCATGGCAATCAAGAGAATCTGCAGCCATCATAGGTAAGGGTGGGTGCTATAAAAAGATTGAGAGGAGTATGATGTTGTAGTCATCTTTTTATCATAGAAAACACTTGATATAGCTAGCTTATGAAGAGAAAAGGGTTGTTTTGCCTCATAATTCTGGAGATGTCATGTAACAGTCAGTTTGGGAGGATGTCATGGCAAGGAACGCACAGTAGAGCAAGCTGCTTACCTCAAGGCCTGGACAAAGAACAGAAAGTGATGTTGAGGGTGTGGCTCAGTTGGTAGTAGTTGCCTAATATACATAAAGTCCTGGGATCCCTCTTTAGCACTTTATAATACTGGGTGTGTGGTGACACACGCCTGCAATCCCCTAAGCTGGTAGGTGAAGGCAGGAGGATTGGAAATACAGACATTCTTGGCTATGTAGCTATAAAGCAAACATCCGATGCTGAAGAGTCCTTGCCTTTAAAGGATGGAAAGTGATCTGGGTATGGTGGTCCATGCCTTTAATTCCAGCACTCAGGAGGAAGACACAGGTGAATCTCTGTGAAGTCAAGGCCAGTCAGGTTTCCATAGCAGCCAAACTTACACAATAAAATCCTGTATTGAAAGAGAGAGGAGTTGGGGAGGGGAGAGGTTGGATGTCTTTATTCCTTCAATGGTGGGCTCCAAATGACTGGAAGCCCTGACCCACTTTTAAGTGTTTCCACCTTTTAAAAAATTATTATATTTATTTTTATTTTATGTGCACTGGTGTCTGTATTGAGGGTGTCAGGACCCCTGGAACTGGAGTTACATACAGTTGTGAGCTGTCATATGAGTGCTGGGAACTGAACCTGGGTCCTCTGGAAGAGCAGCCAGTGCTCCTAACCGCTGAGCCATCTCTCCAGGCCCCTGACCCATTTTTAAAGCTTCCATCACCCAGCAGTAAATCTTAACTGGGGGCTAAGCCTGAAAGATGCCGTATTAGTTACTTTTTTCTGTTGCTTGATTAAAAATGCCACAGCCAAGGCAATTATGGAAGAAAGTTTATTTGGACTACAGTTCCAGAAGGTTAGAGTCAATAATGCCAGAGCTGTGGCATGGTAGCAAGAGGCAGGCATGGGGGAGGGACGGGAAGCTGAGAGTTCACATCCTGAACCACAGCATGAGGTGGGGAGGGTGAACTGGAATTGGAAATCTTTTAAATATTAAATCCTGCCCCTTGTACCATACTTCCTCCAGCAAGGCCACACCTCTCTAACTTCCCCCAAACTCCTCCACCAACTGGAGACCAAATGTTCAAATGACTGAGACAATGAGGGATATTTCTCACTTATTTTTTTAATTAATTTACTTATTTTGAGACAGGACCTCACTTTGTAAATCAGGCTGGCCCAAAAGTGACAAAGACCTTCCTGCCTCTGCCTCTGCCTCTGTCTGTGCCTCCTGAGTGCTGGGATTAAAGGCATGCACCATTGTGCCCAGCTAACATTTCTCATTTAAATTACCACACATATGGTAGTATTCCTGATCTAACATGTGGTGGGATTATTTTCACTGAAATCCAATGTTGGCACATCATAGTATCCACTTCCTGCATTCATTCCATTTAGACAAATCGGGCCTGGGCTGCCTGGTCCTCAACTTCTACAATCAGATTTTCTAGTGATTTTCTCTCCACAGTTGCAGCACCTAATTCTAGGTACACTCAAGGCACCTTCCAAGCCCACTGGTTTTTGTGCTCATTTTGTGTCCTGCTGCCTTACTGAAGGTATTTCTCACACCTAAGCGTTTTCTGACAGAGTGTTTGGATTCAAGTATAGAATCCTATCTTTTGCTAATAAGGACACTTTAACTTCTTCCTTTTTCATCTGTATCCTCTTCATTTTATTTTCTTGTCTTATTGTTGTAGTAAAGACTTCAAGTAGCATGCTGAATGGGAGTAGAGAAACTGGACACCCTTGTTTTGCTCCTGACTTTAGTGGAAATGGTTTGGGTTTTCCCCATGTAGAGTAATATTGACTATTGGTTTATTGTATATAGCTACTAGTATATTGAAATATGTTCCTTTTATTACATGTGCCTTCTGGACTTTCATGATGAGATTTTTGAATTTCATCAAAAGCCATTTCTACACTTATTGAGATTACTGGGTGATTTCTGTCCTTCAGTTCATTTATTTGATGTATACATTCATTGATTTGCATGTGCTAAACACTCCCCACATCTCTGAGATGAAGCCTACTTGGTCATGGTTAAAGACAGTTTTGATGTAATAGATTTCTTGAATTCACCTTACAAATACTTATTAAGATTTTTTTTGCATCTGTGTTCATTAGTAGGTCTAAATTTTCTTGGGTTAGTTTAGGGTGAGTCTGTTCTCATCAAAATATGTGCATTTAGGCAAATCTGAAGTAAAAGACCAATTTGGCTTTTGTATTCCTAAAAAAACTTGTCACATTTGTGTATTATTCTGCCTATAGGCATTTGTCCTGTTTGTTCTTTGGGCCACATATCAAAAATTTTTCATAAGTTCTGAACAAGCATTTCATGACTTAATGTCAATCTCAAATGTATCTATATATTTGCAAACTTTGCTTTTTTAACTTCTAGCTTTTCTTTTTAAGCAATGCACTAACATTTTGCCTTGTTTAATTGTGGGAGAGTTTTCAGAAGTGTAGAGATAGATGTAGATATAAAATTGTAGCTATAATAAAATTGCTTAGGATATGACTGTCCCCAAAATGTCATAGCTAACATTTTGCCCATTTTACTCATTCTTTCAATAACTTTTCTGTCAGCTTACTCAGATCTACAATCATTGTGAATCTTATTAGCAGTGAATATAAGCTACTTTCAGAAATTTCAAACTAAAAGTTAAAACATTTGAAAATGTGCTATTATAAATTTCTACAGTCTAATCTGGTACTTAGGCCACTACTCTGACTGCAGATGTCCTGTCCTTTGTTTTTCCACTTGGAGAATTCAGATATTTCCCAGTAGGCACAGGTCTTTATGTCTGATATTGTGTGGAAATTTTGTACTTGAGCTCCTCTTTTATCTCTGGGTTATTTTTGTTGTTTGCTAAAATATAAAGCCATAGTGTCCGCAGCTATTGTGACACCTGGCGTGTGATACCAGTAAAACTGGCTGTGAATGGAAAGGTGGCCTGACAGCATTTTTGGCAATTAGAGAGTATTGGTATTTTTTTAAGTGCTCACATGTGTTTCCTTCATTCCAGTAATTCCCTGTTTGGGAATTTAGATATGGTATACGCCTATAGAGATGTTCACACCACAGCGTTTTCTGTAACAGATGATCAAAAACATGGCCCAAACAAGAACTCCAATCAGGTTAAGGTGGCCCATACCTTTAATTCTAGAACTGAAGACGTAGGAGCTCTATGGTTTCAAGGCCAGATTGCTGTACAAAGCAAGCTCTAGATCAGAGAGCGCTACATAGTGAGACCTTGTCTTAAAACAAACAAAGGCTGGAGGGATGGCTCAGAGGTTAAGAGCACTGGCTGCTTTTCAAAGAGGTCCTGAGTTCAATTCCCAGCAACCACATGGTGGCTCACAACCATCTGTAATGAGACCTGGTGCCCTCTTCTGGTGTGCAGGCATACATGCAGACAGAACGCTATATACATAATAAATAAATAAATAAATAAATAAAAAGCAGGGCGTTGGTGGCGCACGTCTTTAATCCCAGCGCTCGGGAGGCAGAGGCAGGTGGATCTCTGTGAGTTCGAGGCCAGCCCGCATTCCAGAGAGAGTGCCAGGATAGGCTCGAAAGCTACACAGAGAAACACTGTCTCGAAAAACAAACAAACAAAACAACAAAAAAGCCAAACAAACAACTTGGGTGGAGGTATTTCAATTTTGGAATGGCTAAATGTTGGTACTTTTAATTATGTCGACTATCATCAATTAAATGTCCGGTGCCACTTAAAGCTGAAAAAGAACATAAATAATATACTTAAATGCAGAGAGATGTTGTATAAAACCTTTGCAATATTTCTTTTCGTCGGAAAAAGGACACACCTGTATGAGAAAGTAAATACCAAAAAGCAATATACCAAGTGTACGTCGTGAAGAACGCAGGGAAGTGGGGTGTGTTGTGTGTGTGTGTGTGTGTGTGTGTGTGTGCGCGCGCGCGGGGGTGCGCCTGGCTGGACAATCTGTTCTCCGTCCTGAGCAGTTTGGCTGGCACAAGTCATAATTCGCGAAGGTGCGATTCCGGACTCCGGCTACAGGTGGCACTGTTGTCAACCACCGGCCGGTTGACAACTCATCGCGCCCCGGGTGACGTCATCACGGCGGGCCACGACGCACGCGAACCAGCGAGGCATCGGGACACCGCGCGTTCCTACGTGGGCGCTCTGGATCCCGCGGCGTCTTCCGGCGGCCTTGAGGTCGCCACTCTGGCCGCTCTGGCTCGCCTGGCGCTGGGTGGGCGGCACAGCTGCGCCCACATGAACCAGTGGCATTGTGGCCGCAATGGTCGCGGTCGGGGCCGAGACTTCGCCAGCCGTGCCGCACCCAAGAAGAAGGTCAGCAACCACATCCCGGAAAGGTAAGGCGCTTTGGTTCCGGGCTGGTCGTTCCGGCTGCCTTGGCGGCCTCGCTCCCTTCCGCCTCCCAGAGTCCTCCGCGCCGAACCCTCCCGAGCCCCGCATTCTAGGGTCTCAAGCCGGTCCCGACGGGGCTCTGCCCGCGGAGCTCGCGAGGGCCAGCGCGGAAGTGCGCCTTGAGGCGCGGCT